GACTTCCAGGTGGCGCACGCCTTTAATCTCTGTGAGTTCGAGACCAAGCCTGGTCTACCGAGCGAGTTCTAGGACAGCCTCCAAAACAATACAAAGAAACCCTGTCTCGAAAAAAATCAAAAAAAAAAAAAAAAGGCCTGACTTCCGCCTTGTTCCAGCAAAATCCCAGCTATTTTAGCACATTTTTCTAGGTACCCTTTTCTGGGTCCCTAATAAAAAGCACACTGGTTCAATCACTCCAATTACACCGGGACAATGACCTAAGTCAGAAATCAACCAATAGGAAGCGTGGCTGGATCATCAGCAGATACTGAGTGTTAAACCATCAACACATGGCCTTTTCACACCCAGGCAGAAGAAAAACCCAATGAGCACACTTTCTCCTCAATCCTACGCCACGCCCAGCACAGCTGTGGCTCCAATGTCACGTGCAGATTTGAGCCCTACTGTGGCTCCAATTTCACATGCAGATTTTGAGCCCTATACAGCAAAAACAGGCTCTACCAGTGACCCAAGTCTTAATACAAATGTGCATGTAAAGCTAGTTACTTAATTTGTCTTAGAAATGTGAATTTTCACACATCAGATGTTCTAAGCATCATGTGGTCTGGAGACCAGAACAACACCTGTAGATTCAGTGCTACCTTTGTTTGAAATCCAGACCTGCCAAGCCAAGCTGCCTGCCTAGGGATGCCCACCTCCGTTCTCCTCATCCATGTTCTAGACAGACATTCCTCTGGTCAGTGTTGCTCCGAGATTCAAACTAGATGTCTATAAACAGGCATGGTGGCTACAATGTCAACTGCAAAGGGATAAGCAATGTCTCTCATGATCGAGGCAGGGGCTGGGGAATGCCACACAGCGCAAGGAGCACAGATCCCAGCACCTATGTGAAGAGCTCAGTGCAGCAGTGTAATCCTGGCTCTGGGAGAGAGACAGGAGGGCCCCTGATGCTTGTTGGCCAGACAGCCAGACTGGCCAAATCAGTGAGTTTCAGGTACAGCGAGACCCTATCTAAAAAGTAAGGTGGATGAGCCCAGAGAGGAGTTCCGCAGTTAAGAATGCTGGCTGTGGGTCCAAGATCTAACACTAATGCACAGACAGACACAGTGTAGCCCATTCTGTATGGAGAGACACCACGCCCAGCCTAGACACAGGGGTGTGGGGGTGGAGAGGTGCCATAGTCCTGTCTCAACTAGATGACGGGACACACTCAGTAGACTTCCTATGGCAGGCCTTACCTTCTCTGTGGAGCAGATGGGAGGAGGGGGGAATGGAGGGACGGGGAGGAAAAGAGGGAGGGAGGGGGAACTGGGATTGGAATGTAAAAAATAAATTAATAATTACAAAAAAAGTGCTGACTGCTCTAATTTAGTTCCCAGCAGCCAGGGGTGATTCACAACCACCTGTAACTCCAGCTCCAAGGACGAGGTCTGACAACTTCTGGTTTCCATCTCTCTCTCACACACACACACACACACACACACACACACACACACACACACACACACACACACAGGGGGGGGATTGGTAAGCAACAGATCTAGGGGGAAAGGATGGAGGGAGAAATAAAAATAAACCTTAAAAAATAAGGTGGAGGCTGGAGGGTAATTAAGAATAGCCCTGGCTGCTCTTCTAGAGGTCCCTGATTTGAATCCCAGCACCCACATGGTAGCTCTCAACCATCTGCAACTCCAGTTTCAGGGGATCCAGCGCCCTCTCCTGCCCTCCTCCTACATCAGGACAAGTATGCTGTGTCATTACACACATGCAGGCAAAATACTCATCCACATAAAATAAAACAATTTTTATTAAAATAAAAATCAAGTGGCGAGCAACTGAGGAAGATAACCAGTGCTGACCTCTGAACTCCATCCACCCGCATGGCCACACACAGGTCACATACACACCAAATAAATACGGTTGTTTTGGAAGTAGGGGCAAATGTAGTATCAGCATATACCTATTGAATGTTCCCGTCAGCAAATTACCAGAGGAAGAGCACCCCTGGCCAGCCAGCAGTGAGGGCGAGGCAGAGCCAAAGCTCGAGCTCCAGGTTGAGGAGAGGTTGTCCCCTGCAGCAGCTCTCTGCCACTACTCACTGCCACTGTCATTTACTACGGGTCGCACCAGCTTTCCAAAAGGGACACAGACACTGCCCATTAATGATGTATGGCTCCGGGGTCATAGAGGGACAGGCCTTCGGGCCGCTGGCACCTTGTTCCCATCAAAAGGACCTAGCTGCGGCTTTTAGTCCTAAGTAACATGAAGCCCTGCAGCTAGGAGGGAGGCTTCTGCCGGTCACATCCTGAATGGCACACCTGTGCTGCATTCCACTCACACCGGTATCTAAAACATATGCTGCCTATGTTCCTTCCATCCACATGTGAGAGGAAGTGGCCACTGGACACAATGCCCACCTTCTCCAGCAAGAACCATGGGCTCCATCAGCCTGCCGCTCCGTCCCTTACAACTAGGCACAGCTGCACCCTGGTGACAAGCGTGCACTCCTGGACTTTGCCTGACAAACAAGATCAGGACATGTTGGACTCCAAACAAAGCAGTAAGACTACTCAAAGAGGAACCACTATTACAATTGCCCCAGACAAAGCACTGTGAGGTTAATAAGCCCAAATTAACCCTGCAGTTACTACCAGCTTGTTCTAGGAATGGCGCGCTCACTGTTCAGCTGCTCACGTTGCAACTTGGGAAAATTCATTTAAGATTCCAATGTTCTTCAGATGACTGAAGGGCCTCCCCACCCCCTACCCTCCACCCCCCATAATGTCCCTGAGCAACTGTTTTACAAAACTCAATTTCTCTAGCAGCAGAAACTTCTCAGTGAGAAGACTAAGCAGCCACAGAGTTCGTGTCAGACAAGTCAGCAAGATGTAACGGCCCAGTGTGGCCAGTCACGCCCAGGGACAAGAAGCACGTGGTGGGAAAAATCAGAGGTGTGCACAAGGCCAGGATGGGGAGAAGCATGGGAGGGAAGGGAGAAGAGTGTGAGACGAGGGAGGGAGTGGAGGGCAAGCGCTTGTTGCTTTGGCAAGAGAGGGAGTGGGAGATGCCCAGGGTCCACTGCTGGATCTGAAAAGCTATCATACTGGGCCACACTGCAGGACCTAAGCAAAGCCACAAGTCAGAGAAGGCGGCAAACACCAGCTCCATCTTGGGAAGGGTAAATGGAACTGGGCCAGTTAACCAGTATCAACTTGTCAGGAGTGAGATTGGATCAGTGATGCCACCTGACCCCTGAAACACCAGTGAATTTCCATCTTTGCTTTTCCCCAATTATAAAAAGAACCTTAGCATGCCCTACCTAACTCCAACTGGGCCAGAGACAAGGTTTACAGACTTACTCTGCCAGGTCTGAGAAGACGGGAATCCCTTTGCTCTTAATTTCAATTCTGACTGTGGCAATTTGTGACATAATCCAGGGCAAGCGGCTAACCCTGCTCCTCACACCCCAGTGTGTCAGCACAGAGTGGAACATCCAAGCCCCAGAAGTGAAGCAAACAGGATGGCTGTGACAGATGCTTCCAAAGATCTGTCACTTTCTATTCAGTTTCCCCAGCCCTAGGTAGCACACAGACACTGTCCTTCCCAGGTGCTGGGCCTGTATCTGGGAGTAATCTAGCGTGGGACAGAGACCTCCCTTCAACTCCAGCATCCCTTCCACGTTCCTGCCCTAAGAGCCACTGTATAACCTTCTTCTCATCCGTCCTGGAGGCACCTTCCAAGACCTAGACCTCCTGCGGTAGTGCTGAACAGATAGGCATAGGTGGGGTCACACACAAGGCCAGCAGGTCCATACTGAGCTAGGTCAGCCACCCAGATGACATCCACCTGCTGATCCCAGCCACTCCAAGGAGCACCCACCACTAAGACAAAAGAGAGGCTGGGAACGCCATTGCTTATAACTGCTACTGGAAACAATGTAACCACAGAGCACAGGGCAAGACACTAGCAATCAGCTTTATAGGCTAACTCCCAAAGTGGGCAGGGGTCCTGCTCATCTAATAAGAGGAGGGGACAGTAAGGAAGTGATCAAATGAGACACATTGAAACAAAGTGCTCACAGCCCACCATGCCCTCTTTGAAGGGGGTACAGTCCGTTTCCATATGTCATCGCAACAGAAAGAGCTGCTTCCACTCAGCTCCAACAGACACAAACCCAGCACCCACAACGGGCACTCTATGTCCAATCCCAGAACCAGAGATCTTGGCTCCGGACAAGTCATTCCAGTCTGTCTCAAATCCAAGTAGCCTCCTAGTTTCCCAGGGAAAAGAGCCCAGCCTCTTAAGTATTCTCTTAGACAAGACTTTCCACACTGCTTTAAAAGTTAGGTGTGGAAGGCCATTTCTAAAACCATTTCCCTATGCCACCAAACTTCTCTCTCAAAGTTAAAAAGGAAACCTGCATATATTGCACATAAGTCATGGGTACCTGGGGTCAACTGCTCCAGGGCTCCTGGTGGCCCACCGTGGACAAGTGTTTTCCTCCAGAAGCTCTGGTTACTGAATGACCCCAGAGCCTGAGTGAAACGTGGAAATTCACAGTTGGCCTTTGGTCTCAACGCCAAAGTCAAAGCAAGCCCTTGCACCTTCCTGCAAGGCGTCCCACCTGCAGCCCTCCCTCTGTTGAGCAAGCAAAAAGTGAAACTAGCCCACAAGGCCCCGAAATCAGGCTTGGGGCCCCCCAATCCGAGGAGCCAGGAGCAGAGCAAGGTCCCCCAGAGAGGGTCCATAGGCCGCCCAGGCCCTCTCCCCGGCCCCGCACCCCCATCTCTCCCGATCGCCCCTCTCCAGGCCTCAGAGCACCCCGCACAGCACCGGCGAGACCGGCAGGCCGCACAGGGGCCGGGCGGACCCGGAGCCTCCAGCTCCGCGTTCCCAGGCCGCGCGCTCGGCGGAACGCAGCCGGCCACTGCGGCGGGGCCCGGCGACCGCGGGCGGGGGCGACCTCGGGCGGCTCGGCGGGGCGCGGCGCGGCTCACCTGCACTCCACCTGCTGGTCGCGATCCTCGCGTCGGCGCGTGCGGCCGCTGCGCTCGGCCTGGGCCCGGCCCGGCCCTGCGTCGGGCCTCAGCGAGTGAGGCGCCCGCCGCCCCGGGCCCCCATCGCCGCCCTCCGCCTCGGCGCCGCCGCCACTTCCTGTGCGCGGCGATCCCACAGTTCCGCCGGCGCGGGACGGCGGGCGCGGGGACGCGGGGACACGCGCGGACGGACGCGCGGGGGAGGAGTCGGGCCCGCGGCGCAGTGGCGGGCGCCGTGGCCAACGGACAGCGGGCGGGGGAGGGGACAGGAGGGGCACCCCGCGGGACCAGCCTCGACCCTCCCTGGCCCTCCCGGGGCACTGGGGTGTTCCTAGACCCAGCCTGGACCCCCTTCAGCCCCTGGAGTCCTAACGGGGACCCACCAGGGTGTTCCTGGGCCCAGCTTGGACACCGTTTCAGGCCCCTGGAGTCCTTTTGGGGGTACACGGTGTTCCTGCACCCAATGTGGACCTCCTCATCCCCCTGAAATTCTTCAGGATGTTCCTGAGCCAAACCTGGACCCCCGTTAGTTCCCTGGAGTCTTTCTGGGGTGCCCCCCCTTGTAACGGGGTGTTCCTGGGTCCAGCCTGGAATTCAGTCTCCTAGAATCCTCCTGAGTCCCAGCCTGGACCCCCTTCCCAGCTCCTGAGGTCCCTCTGAGCCCCGGGATGTTTTGATGACTCAGGGCTAGACCACCTTCCCTCTGGGTTCTCATGGGACGCCGGGATATTTCTGGATCTTCGACCAATTCCTTGGACCCCACTCCCAACTCTCTCTCCCACCCCACCCCTGGGTCAGGATCCCATCCAAGAATCCTGGGGACTGTCCTCAGTGTCTGTTGCGGCACCAGGATCGCTTGTCACTCCCAAGTGCTCTGGCCCTTTGACTTATTTATAGTTGGCAACTGGCTGGCAACATTGTATCCACATCCGACCCCGGAGGAAGGCTCTATCAACCTAGTCCAGGGTCTTTCTAGGGTCGGCTTTGCGTTCCCTTTAGCCCCACAAGCAGCCCGTTGATGACCACGAATCCCCTCCTGGCCACAGTGAGTCATTTGAACTGAGGACCAACAGCCACCTGAGCCTCCTTCCCCCACCAAGCCGGTGGCTGCTCCTAAAACAGGCCAGGAAGGACTGCGCAGGCTCAGGTGCTGCATCAGGACAGGGCCATCTGCACACCACTTGAAACCTACGTGGCCTCATGCCTGCTCAGTCCCTTGGATCCAAGCCCTACTTTTTGAGCTCACTTGAAAACTACTTAGGTCCTAGGGCGTATTCTACAAGCACCACTGCCTGCGTTTAAAAGCCTCTGGGGCAAGATTGCCAGGAACAGAGATAGACAAAATTGTGTCTTCCCATAATGTCAGAACGGATTGAGTAATAAATCCACAAGTCTCTTCAACTGTGATATCTTTGCTGTGACCACCAGCAAACATGATTTTCACCTTAACCCAATCTTCATCACTCACTGTAATAACTCATCACTCTATCTTTTTTTTTCATCACTCTTATCTTTAACAGGTTGCAGAATGGCTTCAAAAGGGTTGAAGAGTGTGCACGACTCAGCCGGGCTGTGTGGAAGGCAGAGGCTGAGCTGACAGAGATAGGAGAGAAATTGGGAAAGTTTCAGGTGAGGAGGAGAACCCCTCACCCAGAGAGAGGTTGAAGTCTCCCAGCTGGAAGCTGCATTTCAACACTTTGCTCCTTTTTAATGTTTCAACTGAGGATGTTAACAAATGAGGATGTTAACACAGAAGGCAGAAGCTTGTTTGACCTTTGAGTTTAATCAGACTTCTTCCCCAATGGTAAACCTATAACTTCGTGAATTTCACAACTGAGATTACACTCAACACACATGCCTTCACTCCCCTTTCCTCTAGTTCAGTAAGAAATTCTTTACCCTTTTGGCGTATGTTTTGATCTGGCCCTCCTCAGGCCATGGTCTCATTAAGAGGGGAAAATAACAAAAGTTTCCCTAGAACCCCTTTAAATAAGTCAAGAACCAAGGTGGCTCTGGCCTTCAAGCCCAGCAGCCAAAAGGATGAAGCAGGAGGATTGCTGCAAGTTTAAGATAACTGAACTAAAAAGTGAGAACCCACTCGGGAGGCAGAGGCAGGCGGATCTCTGTGAGTTCGAGGCCAGCCTGTTCTACAGAGTGAATTCCAGGACAGCCTCCAAAGCCACAGAGAAACCCTGTCTCAAAAATCCAAAACCAAACAAACAAACAACAAAAAACAAAAAACAAAAAAAGTGAGAACCAATCAAAAGAAAGAGAAAGAGGAAAGAAAAGAAAAAGAAAGAGAGACTTTCAAATAATATACGGTGGGAAAACAGCCCAGATGAGGAGTCACATCTGGAGATGCTCATGTGCCTGGCACTTCTGATAAGTTGATATAGTCACATCATTTATTGGTACAAATCAGTTACTTTTCAGTTTGTGTCTCCTGGTATGTTGGCAAATGGTTACTTACAGGAACAAGACATAGAGATATTCTGCCTTGGCGACTGGTCTCAAAATGGAGGAACTCAGATCAGCACTGTTGCTGTATAAGATGAAGAAACTCCGGTCACCTCAGAGCCAGGCATGACATTTTCTTCAGTCGAGAATTATTGACTCCCTCTCCTTCAGCTATCAACTATCACTTTCAAAGTTACTGTTTTTATGGGGTTTTATCAGGAGTGTGGACCCTGACACTAATTTCCAAAGACATAGAAATCATACACTCTCCATCTACCAAAGGCATGGGTCACTGGGATCTGGCAGGCCTAGAATGGGCGGGAATCCCACAAACGCAATCGCTTTCTTTCAAAACAGAGGCTCTGTTCAGACACCAGTTTTCCTATTTCTATTTTATTTTTTATTTTTTTGGTTTTTATGAGACAGGGTTTCTCTGTATTGTTTTGGAGGCTGTCGGACCAGCCCAGCCTGGAACTCACAGAGATCCACCTGCCTCTGCCTCCCGAGTGCTGGGATTAAAGGCGTGGGCCACCACCGCCCGGCCAGTTTTCCTATTTCTAGACTTACATAAAAACTGGAAACAGTCTTGGGCATCCTTCCCCTAGGAAAGGACGATCATCCCTCCTCACTGTTAGGTTTATATGTGGTCTGGCCTTTGTCCAGCCAGCTTCTTACAAATTGTAAGATGGAGGCCGGCAGTGGCTCAACAGGTAAAACTGAGGACCTGAGTTCAAGTCCTGGAAGCCAAGTAAAGGTGAAAGGAGAGAAGTGAGTCCACAAAGTGCCCTCTGGCCTCCATATAGCACTCACCATGACAACATGAGCCCTGACACACTAAAAAATGTGTAAAAGTGTTAAATTCTAAGATGGCCACAGACAAAACATGAGGGACTCAGTTATATGTCCTCCCACCCCTGTGTCTCAACAAAGTATAAGTCCATTTTCCTTTTTTCCATTTCTGGTTTTTTCTTTTTTTGGTTTTTTGAGACAGGGTTTTTCTGTATTGTTTTGGAGGCCCTGGAACTCATCTTGTAGATCAGGCTGGCCTCGAACTCACAGAGATCTGCCTGCCTCTGCCTCCCTGGTGTTGGGATTAAAGGCGTGTGCCACCAACGCCCAACTGTTTTTTTCATTTTCGTGTGTTTGTATGTGGTGTGCATTTGTGTGCATATGTATATGGGAGTCTTGCCAAGGGTAACATCAGGAATCATCTACATTTCCACCTTGTTAACTGAGGCTGGATCTCACAGTCAAACCCAGAGCTCACGAATGGGGCTATTACTAGACAGCTAGCTCTGGGGCTTCAAGGCTAGTATCATAGGTTTGCTGCTGTGGCTACCTGGCATTTACGTGGGGTCTGAACTCTTCTGTAGCAAGTACTTCACCCACTGAGCCATCTCCCCAGCCCATTTCTTCTTTACACTTTTATTTATTTTGTGTGTATGTGTGCACGTCAGGGACGATTTGCAGGACTCAGTGCTCTCTTCCCACCATGTGGACCTAAGGATCAAACTCGCATCCCCAGGCTTGGCCACAGATGCCTTACCCACTGAGCCATCCCAGTGGTCCCCAACTTCTTTTAAAAGACAAGGAACAGGGCTAGAGTGATGGTTCTGTGGAGGATGGAAGTTCCGTTCCCACCACCCACATCAGGCGGCTCACAACCACCGGTCACTCCAGTTCCAGGAGAGGACTCCGCTAGCCTCTGCAGGCACCTTGCATGGACGCCGGCACACATACACATAAACAAATCTTAATAGTGTGGTAGGAAGATTTAATGACTCCAAGTACTTATTAACAACATTTGTGAGCCAGCCAGGAAGAACTTTGGGATGGCTACTGGTTCCTGACCCTTAGGTGCCCTGTACACATTAATGACCCAGTGGTGGAAAGGGAGCAGGGAGTGTTTATGTGCAGCTCTATTGTTTAGGGTTTTGTTTTGGTTTTTGGTTGGTTGGTTTCAAGGCAGGCTTTCTCTGTGGCCTTGAACACAGGCATCCGCCTGTCTCCTCATCCCAAGTGCTGGGATTAAAGGCACGGGCCACCACTGCCTGGATCACTAATTATTTAGTTTCAAAATCTGGAAAGTTGCTTGTAACCTTGCCATGTGGTCTTGGTGGCAATTTGTAAAGAAGACATGTTTAAAACACATGTCACTTTGAAAGCTCAGTACAGCAACTTCCTGCATGGTTGTTTGGTTAGTGTCCTGACTGGTTCTATGTCAACTTGATGCAAGCTAGAGTCATCTGAAAGAGGGGAACCTCAACTGAGAAAATGCTTCCAAAAGATCCATCTGTAATGCATTTTCTTTGTGTTTGATGTGGGAGGGCTCAGCCCATGGTGGGTTCTATAAGAGAACAGGCTGAACAAGCCATGAGGAGCAAGTCAGTAAGCAGCACCCTTCCATGACCTCTGTGTCAGCTCCTGCATCCAGGTTCCTGCCCTGTTTGGGTTTCCGTACTGACTTCCTTCAGTGATGGACTACAATGTGCAACAATGAGCAAAATAAATCCTTTCCTCCCCAACTTGCAGTTTTGGTCATGGGTTTCATCACAGCAATAGAAACCCTAAGGCAATTAAGGAACTTGAACACTCTGATTTTGCTTCCGTTGGTGGCAGAGTGCTTCTCTGGTGTCCTGGCTTGGCTTCCTCTTCAGATTTTGGTGTAAACGT